CCTTGGGAGTCTCCTGCTCTGTGGGGCAACCGCAGTGTGTGGCTTCTGCCTGCGGCTCGGGCTTCCCAGAGTGCTTCCTGTCAGACTAGTCCCGCCAGCTGCTCTGTGGGGAAGACGCCTTGATAGAGGCAGGACGATACCTCCTTGTGAAGATGCACTGTATACAGGGGCATACGAAATGCTCTGAAAAGTCCTGCAGGAAGGGGCCTTAATCAAACTGGTTTCCCAAAGAATCATTCTCTGGTGTTTCAGGGTGCACATTAGGCAGTGCTGTATTAGCTAATTGCAGGTGTGGTACCTGCCAAAGAACCAGAGGCCAGGAGGCTAGTGATGACTTTCTCAAATGTGCAAGTGAAACCCAAGTCAATGAAAATATGGGTGTTTTGAACTCGCAATTTCACAATTGTGCCATTAATTCAAAACTTGGGCAAGCACGAAGGATCAAGCAAATATTAATTTGGAACTTATCAGCTTTCAAATTCTTCAGCTGGCTGGGCTACTCGGAAATAGTAAACCTTTCATAATACCAACATTATGCTTCGTCTTATAAAACTGTACGGTTTAATTTTAAAAACTGCTTTTCCACCGGAGGTACTGTCCATCATCACGAGACTGGTACAGCTTGGCAGTGAAGAAGTATATCAAGGCCAGGAAGGCGTTTTTGTTTTTTTTTTTTTCTTAAGGAAAGAAACACATGATTCCTGCAGTAGAACTATTTGGCTACTTATTTATTCTGATTTGGGAGGTGCCATTTCATTTTGTAGCCTTTCAAGGTGAAGGCAAGAGGAAGGGAGGTGTCTGAACGGAGAGTGGACAACTCTAGGGCTATTGCCCTTGGCTTTGAGGCATCCGGGTTATTTCAAGCCATTCTTTCTAGAGCCCCAGCTTGTCCGAACTCAATCACCCGGGCAGCCTCCCACAGCTAATCACAAACCCACAGTATCAAAGGCAGTGGGGGCCAGGCAGGTCCCCCGCGAGTTATCCGGAGCATCCCTCTAAGCTTCAAAGGCCTCCTCGCTCTCTCTCTCTCTCTCTCTCTCTCAGCAGAAGCTTATCTGGTGGGGCCTGGGATATGAGCAGAATTGCAACGAGGCCCGACTTCTGCCAAGGACAGAGTCTTCCTGGCCAGCTTCTGGAGGTCTCCTGCCTCTTGCTTTAGTTCGCCCTAAAGCAACATCATTATGAAATATATATAAAATGTCACTTGAATGCCAGGGCCTGAAGAGCCATGCACTGTGGATGTGGTCAGTAGGGTCAAGGAGGTGGCCATCCAAACCACTTACTGAACCCTGCCACCCTGACTTTCTAGAACTCTGAAGCAAGGATACAGTCTGTACTAAGCTCCACTTCATCCCTGGCCCCTGAAACGCCTTGATCTTGGCTGTGTTAGGGCTTTCTTGTGTGTTCCAGAGTCCTGCGTTTTCACCTAGAGAAACACCTTGGTACAAACTGAACTGCTCGTGTTACCTTCAGCGGTTTGATGCTGGATCCTCTGCACGAGGAGACTGTTGCCACACCCAGTGGGACTGAACTGCCTTCGATAATAAAACCATTCTAAAGGCATTCCCTAAGGCTGGAAATCACTGTCCTCTTCCTTTGGGCCTGGCATTGTGATACAGAGTACTGTGAAATGAGTTCTTTGCCAGAGGCCGAGAGTCAGATGGAACAAGCTCAGACTTAAATTTTAGCTGTGTGACCCTGGCCTAAGTTACTCAACCTTTCTGAGCCAGTGTTGTCAGCTGGCAAGTAAGAACAATAATATCTACCTCAAAGAGTACTTTTGAATAATAATAATGAGTCAGTATGAAGCACCTAGGAAAACAGAAGCATCAACCTTTTATTGTACCTACTTTGGGCCAGGTGCTGTTCTGAGTGCATTATATTTTAACTCATTCAATCTTCAGAGTAATATTAGTATCCCCTTTTTATAATTGCTAAGTGGAGGTACACAGGTTAAGTAACTTGCCCAAAGTCACACAAGTATTAAGCGTCAGTGCTAGGACAGGGGCGCAGACAGCCTGACTTGAAGAGGTTTCTTAACTTCAGGATGTTTTCCCCTCTCATCTCTAAGAGGTGCTGACTTTCATGCAGGATTAACCACTCACCTTTGCATCTCTTGGGTTGTTAAACTGCATACTGGGTGAGGCCAGAGTAGGTTTACAGTTTGAGTATGTGCAAGTTTATTCTTGGATTATTATTCATTAATTATTGTATTACTTTCCATTTGAACAACCGTGAACCTACTTTTGTCCCCATCCTGCATATGTGTTTAGGTATGTTCCTTACTGTGTATTTTGGGGCGAGTTATACAACAGTTCAGTCCTCAGTTTCCACGCCTGTAAAATGAAGATATTAACAGTTCTTCCTATACAAGATTATTAGAAATACAAGAGTTAACTGAGATAAAAGGATAAGAAGAGTGCTTGGTGCTTAGGACAGGATCCATATAGGAAGAACCTTTAATATCCAAAGTCATGAACAGTGTGAAATATTAGAATTCTTGGGCATCAGTGCTTGGTAAGGGAGATTTTGTGACTGGCTGAATCCAGTAGTTTCAAATGACACTACTTGTTCTCTGGCAAATTACTGCATTTAAAAATAGATTTAAGTTCCGATTCAACCAATGAATAAGCAGGTCCACAGGTTTCTGGTTAGAAAGAAATTAGGCCAGGCCTAAATGAAATCAGACTGAAAGCAAGAATTTGAATAATTCAAATAATCAGAACAGTCCGGCCATCTGCTGGAGGTTTTTTAGGTTATGAGTTGTATTCCACCTACTGGACAAATGTTACGACTACCGGCCAAGGAGGTTAAAAATATTTTGTCCTGCTAAAAATCTTTGGGTGACATAGATTAGTACCACTTTATTCCCAATGCTGTTGAATACCACAGGTTTTAGAAGTGAAAAAGGGAAGCTTTTTGTGAACATGTTGGACATAAAACCACATTAAAGGAAAAGCAGTAGAGCAGACAGCACAAACTAGCTCATGTGAGCATTTCTGCAATAAATTTTATGGCTTTATATTTACTCAACTTGCACCACATTTAAATTTACAATAAAAGGCCAAAAAAAAAAATGTGTGATACTCATTATTCTAGCTGTCTTTACATGTTCCATTGGGATACAAAAGAGAATTTCATTGCTCAGATTTTGAGAGAAGGGGGAGCTCATCTCATTCCATGTCTGTAGCTGTTCCCACTGCCGCAGCACCATGTTCCAATCATGGAATTCATAATACAAACCTCCTGCAGATGATACTACTGGAAAGCTGAAACTGCCATGGTTACAGAAGTGTTTCCAAAGTTCCTATCTGTGAGCCCAGAGGCTGGTACTGAGTGTTTCATTCAAGAGTTAGGCCTGTTGGGAAACCTACATTCTTTGACAGACTTAATGAAGAACTTTCAACCCTTCCTTGACTATACAGTCTTTACAATGATTTCACACGAGACTGTGCCAAACACTTCACAACTGCCAACTTACATTTGACTGTTTAAATCTATTCTGAAAACAATTTGTCACACACATGCATGCCAATAAGAGTTTACACAAATCACAGGTGGTATCAAAGAACTGTCCAGAAAATGTGTTTTCTAGTAGCTAGATGAAAGATCTTTCCCAAATTAGAACATTATAGGAGTCTTTTAAATTGCTGTAGGGATACCCTAGGGGCATCATCAAACTTCAATGTGAACCTTTTGTCTCCCTGCAGGTAAGTCTACAAAGCTGGTTTTGTTATTTCAAACGGATATCTCCTAGTCACCTAATGTTTGTTCTTTTTTGAAGGCACAACCCCCGCCCCCCCCCCCAAAAAAACCTCTTGGATATTGAGGCTTAAGAGCTGGAGGGTAGGAGAGGAAAACATCTTTGTCTCCCTAACACATTCGCCCAGTTCCCTCCCCCAACCCAGCACCGCCCTCCCTAGAACCCTCTACACCCTCCGCACACATCAGCAGCGACTCCCCAAATACCCCAGGGCTGGAACAATTCGTATTGCAATACCCTCCTGACATTCCCATTCCCGCCCTCATTTTAATTCACTCACTTCTTTTTTTTTTTTTTAAACAAAATGTAATTACTTGACTGTCAGCCTGGGCTGCACTCTGGGGCTTTTACTCCTTTCAACACAGCTGCGCTCCGGGCTTTGATGCTGCTGTCCACGCAGCTTGTCCCAGCCACAGCCTGGCTCTCGGTAATGTAACATTCAAGTGCGTATTTATTTTTAAACTGACCTCTCCTAGACTGTACAGTATAAAGGAGGTCCTGCCAAAAAATATGCTACTTTCTATTTATAAGATGAAACACATGCCTCCCCAAAGTCGAGAGGGGGATGGAGTATAATAATTCATAACGAAGAACTGACTGGCCAGATCCATCCTTCTTCACATGTCTGATACTTGTCTGTGTCAAGACACTTAGTTTGAAGAAGAAGAAAAAAAAAAAATCTTGAGAACGCTTCAGCTGTTCGGAAACCACAAACCAAAAAATAAAAAATAAATCAACTTCCAGATCTGCAGGTTGGAGCTCCGACCACAATCCCCCCTCCCGCCAACCGTAAAAGTGGGGAAGGGACACTCGGGGCGCCACGGCAGATCTGCACGGCGCACCCATGTGCGGCCCTGGTGCGAGTCCACGAAGGGAGGGGAGCAGTAGCCAGTCATGTGCGGCTTGTTCTCGGCTGGAAAAATGCAATACGCTCCCAGAATGGCTGTCAATAGCTCGAAGGGTGCAGGCAACGTGCAGCCCCACCCTGAATAACAGTGGGCACAAATAGAGGATGTCTGCGTCCTGGTCCTGGCGCCCGGACCCCTCTCGGTGTACTTTCTGTCCCCTTTTGTCTTTTGGACACCAGCTGGAAGGTGATGCCCTGGTATCCTCACTCCCTGTGCGTTTCCAAGCCTAGCACCCAGCGCACGCCGGAAGCGGCCAGAACCGCCGATCCGACGGATTCACAGACAAACAGTGAGGAAGGACCCGTGGGCAAGCGCAAGCAGCAACTCACCAGCAGCCCCCAAAGATCGCAGCCGCTGCCCGGGGGCTCGGCGCCCCGCACCGACGCCTCCGAGGGCGCACGCAGTCCTAGCCTGTTACGCGCAGATCCTCCGAGTGGGCTGGCGCGGAGCAGCCTCACAGCATTATCCGCTCTCAGCGTGAAGGCGCCCGAGGCCGCCGGTCTCCAGGATCGCCCGCTGGTCGGACCCTGCCACTGCACTGCCGCCAGCTGGAGACTCGGCCAGGAGTGAAGGTGCGAGGAAGACTGAGCGCGGGTCCTCCGGACTCCGGGACTGAACCTGCGAAGGGCGGGGCGGGGCGGGGCCGCAGCTCCGGGGGCGGACCGGGGCGGGGCGGAGCGGAGCCGAGGGCGCGGGCGGCAGAGCACGCCCACCCCAAAGCAGTACCTGCGCCGCGTCTCTGGGCCCGCGGACCGGCGACGATCGCCGGCGGCGAGGTTTGCGAGCTCACGGAGGACAATGGGTACTCATTTTTACCTCCCCAGCGCCACCTCTAGGGATGTGGCTTCCCTCGGAGAAGCTGCGTTCAGCTGCCTCCTCACAAAGAGAGGTCTTGGAAGGCTGGTTTCAAAAAGGGACACCCCCTGGGTGCGGTAACCAAGGACAAAGGGACTCCGCCTGCATCCCAGACACCTGCACTAACCCTCGTGCGCCCACCTCTTCTCGTCCCAACGAGCCGACCTAGCCCACAGAGGTTCCGGCGCGGCGGGCTGGCGGAGAAGTTGCGCCACCTGACTGCGCCGCCCTTCCCGGGCTGCGGGTCCCCGGACCACTAGGATCCGGGCCTGGGGGGAGGGTCACGTTCGGACAGTTTCCAGCTCGCTCCCCCTTGGAGCTGTCGCCAAAACCCGGAGAGTGGATTTGGCAGACGGGAGACAGCGAAGCCGCAGGCTGAGCCAGTGGGCACTCGAACAGCCGACGCTGCAGGTTTTTCCAGTCCACGAGGAGGTGTTTTTTTCTCCCGCGGGTCCCTAAAAGGGACTTGCCTAAAGCTGGGGCGGACGGGTAGCGGCTGTCCCGACGCGCAAGTGGCACAGCTGCTGGCCGGGAGCGTAAAATTTCTCCCTTCGCGACACCTGCGCCCGCCGGTCATTTCGGCGACCGCCGCTGCACGCCCTGCCCCCTCCGCCCGGAGGCCGAGCGAGGACCCAGTTAATTAATTTTCTTAATCCGTCTCCGTCTCTTCCTCTACGAGTCGTCGGCCTGGAGAATGAGTAGGCGACAGGAAAAGGCGGTGTTTTCCGGCTGTGAGGTTCCAGTCCTCACCGTAGGCCTGGGGAGGAGACTGGAACCCGGGGGAGTCGGGCGCTCGGAGCCTGGCCCCAGCCCAGCGACGCTCAGGTTGGATGGAAATCCTGGCACAAAGCTGAGACCCTCCAGGAGACCTTGACTTTCCTGTGCGGTATCAGCTGCGGGTCATCACCGCAACGCCCTTGGGGTCTGGCTGAAACCTTAGAGGATGCTCGTTAAGCCGATGTTGTAAACCACCGCTGACGTTAAGGTGAAGTGAGAAGGAAACGGACACAACTGCTCTGGAAAGCAAAATACTTGGGTGGAGCGTTAAAAGCCTCAAAGAAAATAATAGTTGGCAGGTCAAATGGCCAGGACGTTGGAAGTCAAATACAAGACTCAGCTGAAGTGATGTTAGAAATCTGACAAGCAAAACAGTCCATGGAGATAAGAGACCCGGCATTGTTTCCTCTCTGCAAATGGCAATTGCTCCCAAGTTTCCTTTGGCAGATACCTGGATTTTACTCCAGATTCCTGAGAGTTTTACTTGGGGTTCATATTTCAAAATATATGTTCCATTTGGCACTAATATGTATATTTTATGTATGAATTTATTGGAAAATATTAAATGTTACTGGCCCACTTAAAGGTATTTTTATAAATATGCATAACTTTCATTGCATATGGTATTTTCATAAGTACAAATAGTATGTATATATTAAATACCACATGAAAAACTTTTTTGCACACACAAAAACATTTTTTACACATGTCTTGTATGTAGAGTTGTTTTCATTTTCTCTATTGTTAACGGCTGTTAACATGACTAAATAACTCCTTTTATAGCTTCTGCAAACAAGGAGTGGCAGATTCTTTGAGGTAACAGTTTTATTCCAAAATCCTATTTTCACTTTTCTGCACCTCTCCTCACACTCTAGAGACTTTCGCTCTCTGTCTTTCCTTTATGAAGCTTCACATCTGGGCTCTAAACAATTTATCCAGAAACTGCCCCTCAAAGGCCTGGTAGTGCTGATTTGATTTATCCTGGCTTCTTTGATGCTCTACATTATTTATTTGTACTGAACATCTTTCTTGGTACTGACCACCTCCAGTGAGGGAAACTGCCCTTCTGTAGTGAATTATCCTTTCAAACGAGAGCATTTCCTGTACTGTGATGGCTTTTAGGTTTAATGGATTTTGGTTTCAATATGGAAGAGAGATAAAAGCTTTGCTTTAGGAAGATTTTCAGGGTTCTGAGGTTCTACTTTGAATTACAGAAAGGTTTAGCCTTGAAAAATTGGTGGTAACCTTAGAAGCCTAAGTGAGACCCAGTCAGTGGATATAGAGAAGATATTTTCATCAGATGCAATTAATGTAATGCACTGATATCTGTAGAGCAAGCATCTGTCAGGGCCAGAGGTGGGCTATTTATTTTTCTATTATTTCCTACTTTGGAGGAGAACCAAGAAGTGTCAGATTAAGTACCCTTGATGTCCAGAAACCTGCAATCTACTTAAGGGGCAGAGAGAACATGCCAGTGCATGTGAGCAAGTGCTGACTAGAAATATTCTAGCCTCTTGCCACGAAATGTGGTCGTGGGACAAGTAGCAGCAAGGCTCACTCTAGAGCTACAGAATTGGAATCTTCATTTTAAAGAAATGTAGATGGTTCCTGTGCATGTTTGATGTTTGAGAGGCCCTGGTCAAGAGCAGTGGTTTCAATCTTTTTACACCACAGACTCATCTCTTGGGACTTATGAACACTCTTGTCAGGAAAACACACATAGAAAATTACACATAAATTCTTTCTCATTCAGTTTCAGAGCTTTTCTGAACACCTGTCTATTGATGGGGAGCAAGTCCTCTGTAAAAGCCTCTGATCTCAGAGCTGCTTGGTGTCTGCCAGAGGATGTAAGGAAGCGTTCTGGCAGAGCTTCAGTTAGTCTTTGAAATACGGGAGAAATTGAGTATAGGGAGAGGAGTCAAGAAACTTGGGAGAAATTCATAGGTCAATGGGCCCAGGAGGTCCTGGCCGGTATGGCTCAGTTGGTTGGAATGTTGTCCCATGAACTGAAAGCTCTCAGGTTCGATTTCTGGTTACAGGTTTGGTCCCTAGTCAGGGCGTGTGCAAGATGGAAAATCAATCATGTTTCTCTCATCCATGTTTCACTACCTCTGTCTCTCCCTCCCTTCCCCTCTCTAAAATCAGTAAGCGTGCCCTCAAGTGAGGATAAAAGAAATAAAAGAAAAAATAATAAATGGGCCCAGGAGAAAAAAACAACAAATATGCTTCTCTCCCCACCCCCAAAATATGCATCTGGAGTAAGGTGACTATAGTTTAATAGTAGGCTTTCCTTGCAATTCATTACCATTGTTTGAACCTCAAAAAAATGCAGCTGAACTGTGGACTCCGTAGCCCTTCCACTTCAGGGGCACCAGGAACCCTTTGACATATGTTTTTTTCGGTAAGGCCTCATTTTTGACTACTAGCTCTCCCTCTCACATTCTGCCCTGGCCACATGGCCTTCAGGCCTTTCCAGGAACTCCAGCAGTGCCCGAGGCACTCCATCTGCCTGGCCACTTCTCCCCCCGCCCTCCCCCCCCCAGGTATCCAAAAGAATCCATTGTCTTTATTCAAATGAGACTTGAGGACTGCTGAGAGCGGCTGGTCCTCTAACGCAGCAGCCCTTCCCGCGTTCCCTTTCCCAGCAGAAAGCAGGAAGAATATAATGTACCTGACATTACATTATATTTATTTATGTCCTGTTTTCTGTAAAATGTGGGCTTTGTGTACTGTTGTATCTTCCATACCTAAAATGGGGTCTGACACATAGTAGGTAGTCAATAAATATTTATTGAATAAATGGATCCTTTGACTACAACTTGCAATGAGTGTAAAAGCTCTGTTCGCAACCTCCATCACTCCAGAAATAATAATATATTAAACATTCCTGAAATATACCACATGTTTGCTGAGACTGAATGTTCAACCACTTTTCTTTAGTCTAGCTGAACAAGAAATACTAAACACATGGAACATTTTAAGTTCTAAAACTCAAAACATTTTAAAGTAAGGCTTACAAAAAACGTCTTTATAGTCCATGTATAATGCATAACCATTTCTCTTCTGGCAAAGCTGAAACACACTCATGTGTACTCAGCTGGGGGTTTTCCTCCAGAATGCCATATTCAGACTGAATTTGTGCATGCATGTTCTCGATTAGCCCACGATGTTAGATTTAAGGAAAAATGTAGGAGAAGCTGGAGGGTTAGAACGTTTTGAACAGGAACATCTTCGTAGCTGGAGGATTCCCTTCCTTGCTACTCAATTAGGATTTCCCCAGTCCTGGAAATAAAATCAGTCTTTTCTAATGAATTTAGTTGAACAATTGCCAAAACCTAAGGAATTTTCTAAGCAGTGGCTTCCTTATAAATAAAGCACTTCAGGTCACATCTTGGTTAGGAAATTCCAGTTTCACCTAATCAAATGCAGCCGGAAATGGTATATATGAGACTATGTGAGCATGTGGGCCGCAGGCCTAGCATATAGTTCTGAGCAGGTTAGCCAGGTACCCAGAGTAGCCACCAAGTCCTAGCCCTCTTGGCATTTGAATTAGCTTTTGAACTCAGGCCGCACCAATTTTATTTGTGGATAAGGCCGTCAAATGTGGATACATACTTGATTCTGATTGTTGACTGGAAACCAGTGAGGGATAAATAGCATTATGTTATGTTTATATAGCCTTCCTTGCTTTAAAAAACCATACGCATGCATCTTATTTCTTGTTTTTTAGGTTGTCTGTCCATGTTTGGTAGATAAGGTAGGCAAGAGTGATTCACTCTTTGCCTCTTTCCAGAAGGGATTTGAGGCAACTTTTGTGTATGAATCCTCCCTATTATATTCTTTATGAAATCCTCTTTCCCACAGATACCTGTGTGTCTTCATCCTTGTCTTTTTCTGGCCTCTACTTAAATGTTAGCTCCCCAGAGATCTTCCTAGAAAACCTATATAAAAATCACCCATGGCCACATTTACCGTCTTTATTCTTAATAGC